TTATCCACCAGCCTGCCAGGCAGACAGTGGATCTGTCCCACAGAACTGGTTCCAAGGACAGTCTCCATTCCCTGACATTGACAACAATTAGCACTTTTGACCGTGGACAGATTTTTTTCCACAGATAACATACAAGCGTTTGGTTTCTTACCAAAAATATCACTTTGGCCACACTAAAATCTAGAAAGATACTTAAAAAAATATTAAGAACAGACAGAGGAAGGTTGACCTCCAGAGGATAGTGCAAAAATATTGACATGATTTTTATTTTCCAGTAAAACGTTTACACAAATAATGTTGATTGGCATCTTAACATGTTGTATCTCTCTGATAAAGACAAAGAAAACCTACGAAAATGGAACATGAAGAAGTGTCCATTACTGTTACCTGGCATTCAGCCAAAATTCAGAGGCACTATCCTGACAAACTTCCCTGGGGAGTGACAGGTACCAAGTCATCAGCTAATGTTTGAATTATCTTATCTCCTATCTTCCTGAAGGTTTCCCATCATTTAAAAGGGTGGAATGACTCTTTCGTCTATAAGCTTTAGCTCTAGTGTAATGGCATTTTGAACTAGTTTGAAGGTGCTAATTTGATGTCACAATAACTCCAGTCTCTGCATTCAATAAAAGAGTTTGAACCCCTCAAAATCGTTCCTGTGAGACAAAATTGAATTCTACACATTTTGATGATGAAATGCTAATTTTGGGACATATTTTTACTGTGAAATCTAGAATTTCACAGATGTTAACAGGTCCTATCCTAGCTACTGTATCACATTTCTGTGAAATCACAAGTGCTGCCAGATTAGCCTTGGGAAAGAGTTTTTTTCTTAACCAGGTCGTTGACCTAGGTTACACCCTTGGGAAGGTTAGGGTTTTGTCTGGGGAAGTTGTTTCCTTGGCCAAGCCATATATTAAAGCCTGATGGAAAGTTCTTGATGGCAGTGAAGTCTTTGCTATACAACAGAAGATTTGAGTATGACATAACCTGGCCACTAGGAATATAGGCAGCACCTTCCCAGAACAAATCACGCCTGTTCGAAACCCGTTGTGTATTGTGCATATCATTTTTGCATTAAGTCTTGTTCAATGTCATTTTCCCATATTTAAGGATGACATGTATCAGAAAACTACTTAACAATGGGCAAACATCCAGTTCTGTGCTACATAAAAGGATATATCAGTTTAATTCTGGCAATGCCTTGAAAGGTTAATTTTTTTCAGAAACTCAAACTGTACCCCTACTTGGACATCTTCATTTTTCATAGAGGAAAAAGAGGAAAACTACTCTGTGAAATGCTAAGATTCTAGTTACATCAAAAAACCAAGGGCATGGCAATCCTAGGGAACCTGAAAAATTTTGAAATCTTGACCCTGTCTGAAATGCTATTTTCTGCATTTTGAATTTGAGTAGCAAATTTCGCTGGTAGACTATGCTAAGTTTAATGACACCTCTTCCTCTACCTTTACACACCAAATTTTGTCTGTCATGAGCAGCAAAATTCCGTCAAATGACAGAAAGCCGGACACTGTATGTACATTTTTGAGCCACGCGGCATCTGCCCGTTGGAACTGTCCCCCCCTCCCAACAGCCTCTTTATTGCCACCGCTCTTTAGCCACAGATGACTCGATCAATAATAAGTATTGATTGACGAGACTTATGACATTAAGTAAACCATACTGTCTGCAGTGGGCCCAGGGAACCAGACATCTGTCCTGCATCAGAATTGACCTGATTCGCAGCGTGACAACGTTCCAAGAGAGAGTGCGCAGCCTCCTAGATGCAACCTGTTTATGAATATAGGTTGCCAAAGCCTCCTAGATGTAACCTCACACACAGTTTATGATTATGAATACAGAATTTCTTGTATGCAACTTGAGGTTGTCTGAAAAATATTTTTGGGAGCAAAATCATTTTACAATTTGCTTTCATACTCATAGCCAAATATTCTTCCTTGCGTCGTGAAGATACTGTAACTCAATTTAATTGCGTGGATTCATGAACTCAATTTTGCACTTGGAGGGTTTTTTCTCAGTTCACAGTGAAAACAATACAAAAACACATATTTGTGGTGCCATGATTTTGCAGTTAAACTTAAAGGGCACCACAAAAATGGCAAACACAACACAAGAAGGAATATTTAAAGATTTACATTGCATTGTACAGTAGTTGCAAAATGACAGAGCAGGTCTAAATGACAGCCAGGAAATATAACAGGTAGCTTTCAGTAACTTCTCAAATACCCAGTTTGCCCAGAGTACAACAGTTTTACTGTGGAGGATGAAAAAGTATTCCGAAGAATCACGACATAACGTCCTTCTGCATCACCAAACCTCTTCCCTTATCTTCTGTAATCTGCAGACAGCCAAGCACAATGTGGAGGTGTTCTTCTTCAGACTAAACCCCTGGGAAGGTGTAAGCCTCATCCTCACAGTTCTGGATGCTTGATGAAATATGCAGTGGCTTACTACAATGGGATTGTGAGGTGTTTACACATAAGCGAGTACATCACTCAGGAACAAGGCAGATGGCACCTACATGTACGCTGCTTCCAGACATTTGAAAGTGTGTAGCGACGTTATAGTTTCCTGCTTTAGAATATACTAGCCGCGTTTCTCCCAGATTGCAAGATCAGTAGCTTATGTTCGAGTCCACCTGTTGGATTTCTAAATGTAGTTTATGCCACTGTTAGAAGTCGTAGTGTTTAAAGATATCTGTATAGCCGGCATAACCACCTTTTGCCATAACATACCAGCTACGTAGGCCCGCAACGTGGCAGCAACTGGCTATATTACAATGAATGACCTATTACACCTGACCTTTGCACATCTAACTATAAACGTCATTTAAAGTTAAACGTCATCTAGTGATGATGACCCTACTGTACTTGGTGGCAGGGAGTTCCACTCTATGGCAAATGAGGACCCTGCAAGCCCTGTACCACATTCAAAAGAATGACCATTTTTTTTTTGCATTTCTTGAAAGGAGTAGGAATATACTCTGGTATCTTTCTGGTCCAAAACATACCATATGAATATCCAAGAAGGTGCCACACTTGGTAAAATCTTCAATAACAGAATATTCTTGAACTAAGATCGTGTTGATCCTTCTAAAGAAAAACTCACAGAACTGATTTGTATGAGATCAATAGAGTTTGGTTATACATTTGTAAATACTGTATAAATAACTCTAGCTTGCATATTTCTACAGTGAAACTCCAAGATAATAGATAGGCTTAGAATTTTACTGCTCAATACGTACACGGTGATACAAAGTTTCAGATCAAACATGACTTTGAAAAATCAAGCTGGAAACAAAGTCACAAAAGAAGAGACATGCAGAATGTACCTGTTCACCGGGCATGAAAAAAACGACCTACATACACTAATCTTTCCTGCACACTCAACTGTAACAAGTTCTATTTACAGTACAGTACACAACTTTGGTTCAATAGCAACAATGACAATAGTAGATGCATGTTAAAGCAAACAACACCTGAAGTTATATTACTCGTCTAGGTACATCATTTCTGATACACACAAAACAAACACAACCTACCTTGTCACCTCCATGCTCGTGCTAATGAATGGCTAATTGTGGTGTTTCGGGGGACCACACCCATAAGAAACCTGTGAGGCAGCTTCTAATCTGTACCCCGCTTTACCTGCCTAATTATTCAATTAACCTCATTTCACCACAAACTGGTTCTACCAACTCAGACTGTCTCAAAACGTGGCCAACACAATCTGTTAATCATTGTTTGAAACTGTCCTGCCTCTAGCAGAGGCACACACGGGGTGTTTCTGACACGACTCATCTTTCCAGGTGGATAAACGCAAATGTTGTAAGGAAAATTATCATCGAAATATCATCTTTCCAATTAAAAACTCACGGCAGATCTTCAGATAATTGGAATAATTATAGAGCTTCTTGTAGACGGTTCTCTGGAGACCAATTCTTGGTCATCCAAAATGAGCTACTCTAATTGGAGACGTCAACGTGTGTGTGACTGTTTCTTCAATGTATTAGTTTGATGATCTGGATGTATATCTAAGATTTGTAGCCAATTCACAAAAGGCTGAAACAAAATATCTTTTGTTTCAGCCTTACCCATAAAATTTGGCTTACATCAATTTGAACTGAAGTACAAATCTACAAGTGTTTGACACTTGTTTCTCTTTTTTTTAAGATTTAGGTTTGTGTTTCAAATTTGTTTGTCATGAAATACTTGATTATACTTGACATATTTGATTTTACAATAAATCTATGTGACATTTTTTTGGTTAGCGTAACACGTATATCAATGTTTGGTAATTGTTAGCAATTGTGTAGGTACCAAACCTACTTGTGATGTCTTTATGTATACATATTGGTACTTTGTACTGTGTACATATGTCAGGAAATCATTCATGCCTATAGGGTGACCTATTTATTATGAAGAATTACAAAGTGCGTCCTTCCATCATAGACTCGATTTGCACAAAACTTCATAGTACAAAACCTGTGCACGCATGGCCTGCTTTGACGTATGTCACGAACATTTGTTCACGTCGTTTGTTACCGTGAGGGCTGGTGTACGATCTGAATGATATTTGACGTACACAATTTTCATACGCTTGCATGCATACCCAGTTTTCGTATAATCAGGATTGGGTTATACCATCTTGTCAGCACTTTGAAAATTATTCACTTGTTTATGTCAGACACTGAATTATCCTTTCAGATTTTGGAATGACAAAGAAACGGTTAAAAACCCCAAATCGATTTTAGGACAGTACAAATATGTACTGAAGACGAAAATGTGCTCAGAAATTACAGTAAATGTCAACATCAGACAGATTTCCCCACTCAGAATATTTTTTTGTTTTGCTGCACTGAAATTGCATCAATTCATTTACTTGAGGGTTCTGCTGAGGTTGCATTTTTGTACCAAATCTCTATTATGTATAGGCTACTACATTGTATAGTTGATTAGAGAATGCAGTTAGCTGCTTACCTGCCGATTTGGGTGAGAATTTGTCGCGATGCGCCGCACATACTGCCAGCAGTCGGTAACCAAGGTCCAGGTCATACCCTTGCTGTGCCGCTACTCTACTGACCACCTGAGACAAACACACAAACATCAAAACAAACCGTTAAACCCAGACATACAACTACATGTATGTTAATATACCAGGGCTCGAAATACTGTGTGTAGAAAAAAATTGGAGATGTGCAGGTGTGTCTGATGTCTACCTGTATCTAACCTGCATCAGTCCATGTACAATTTTTCTGGTGAGATACCTCATAAAACATTAAATGTCTTTTAAGATGTATCTCGAATGTAACATTAATTTTCATAATTCTGCTGGGTCCCCAAGACTACCACATCAAAAAATGATACATGTTTATGTGTGGTCTTAGGGTACCTGTCTGAATTATGAGAGTCAACATTACTTAAATGTTAATCTTAATCTAAAAATTAAATTTCCTTGAGAGAATGATTTTTATGTTGGTAGAATCGTTCAGTAAGAGGAGAATGGTGTGTGTTTGGTGCAAGTGCATTTGTGTAAGTTGATCAAATAATAGGCACTATCAATGTTGTTAAAAATAATCAGAAAATGTGTTTGTGTACATTGATTGAATGATAGTTAATACTATCAATGTTGTTGAAAATATCAGAAAATATATCTTGGTGTCTGTTATAAAGGTTAGACATCCAAATACCAACATTTAGTGACCCTGAAGAAGCGTGATGAATTGTCATTTAATATTTTGTGTCACATTGTCTTAAAATTAAAGAAATCTGTTAGAGGATTCTGGATTTACCCTGGTCACACATCAGTGGATCCAGCAAGTGAAAACACAGCGTACTTGCCAAGCCGTCTTGGCACAGGTAAAGTTGTGGGTACACAGGGTTTTTCTTGGACTACAAGATGGACTACAGAAGTGCAAATACACAACCACTCACTGTTGCCTCTGTGCCAAGCTTGCGCAAAGTGTAACTCTCAGGTAAAATAAACACAGTGAGCAGGGATAGAAACCTAAGCTATTTGCTACCTAAAGAACATTCTGGAAGTATCAACCAGACATGCCTGGAATACTTGAGGCCCAAGATTTGGGTGGGCAGGACAAAAACACCAGACAACACAAGCTGCGAGACCAGAGGATCATGTGTCAGGGGAGAAACCTGTTACAAGAGGGTCTGTATGGGGGAATCCTGGCAATGCTTTACGGTAAATTTAGGAGGGATGCCGACACTTAACGGTAAAGCCAGGAAGGCTGACAATGCTTAATGGTAAATTAAGTTGTTCTACAAACAACTGTGGATGCACTGATATGTGGTTTTAGTGGACACTCTTACAATAGGGACCTGGGAGAGACGTTTCTTTCCAGCAGTGTGTAACTGTAAAATAAAGTGGCACAAGGTTTGTCTCTTTCTCACAGAAGGTTAAAGCTCAAGATAAAATATACACTTTCTTCACATGATCCCAAACTGTACCTGTGCCAGATTTACGCCACGGTACACGATTGCCAAAGAAAGTATTTTCAGGATATTCTAGGAACGGCCGTTTTGAGGGAAAATATTTTTATCTCTATTATTGGTATATATCTCTAGCTTGTTGGAACCATTTCAAACTGACAGTTTTCCAGAATCTTATAAACCGGTTTTGGGTTGTGAAAACCGGTTTCATGCAGTACAAGGATATAGGAGAGTCTTTCCAAATCATTATCAAAATGTCTGTTCAATACTTTTCCTAAACACTGCAAAACCTATTGAAATCTATAAATAGGAGAGTAAGTGATATTTTTTTTGGCTTCCAGTTATCACTTGATGATCACCAGCTCTTCCACTTTGCTTTCAAAACAACTCATTATCGGACTCAAGATTTCAAAAGCGATGTACACTGGCAATGAAACGTGAGATCGTTTGTAGAAAACAGTGGCATACTATTACATCCCAAACTGTGGATAGTCAATTCCTCTTCTGATGACAACCCATTGAAATCCTACTACACATCTCTTGAACTGAAAATGTTACTATTTTTATAAGCTAAGTGGAGATCATAACACTTTCTCCACACTCAGTGGTTATAAAAATATGTACAGATGTATTGGGTATCTCAAGGGCTGTTATATGCCACGAAGAATCACTCACTATCACTATCACAATCACTCACAAGAATAGCATATTAGTAAAAACAGCTGGTTTGAATATGAGTTTGCAAATGCTACAGCATGATCTGTGTACCAAACCAGGGAAAGCAAAACCACAGAGGCTAGATTTTTGTATTAAGTAATACCTTTAGTTGGGATAAAACAGAAACTACGCAAAGTACGGGAGGTTCGGGCATCAAACCTCTGCACATAAAAGAACCCAACACACTTATATTATCATCAGTGAGTGACGGTGAGTTATTATTGATAAGAGGAGGGATAACCCAGTATGCTTGGCTAAATGTGCTGGCCAAAAAAGCATCATGTCTCCACAGAATAATCTTCAAGCCAATCTTTCTGTGGCAAGTCAGTATCTATTGGCCTGAGGAGTGTCCATTAGCCACTGTAGGATATACTTGGATATTATCCCATCCAAAGAGATTGGCCTAGAAACCTGAACCTACATGTACATGTATGTGGTGTTTAGCCTGCCATTTTTGTCATATAAGTACAAATTTAAATTCTCGGTTGATACCATTGAGAGCTTCCAGGCTCAGAGAAACTGCGCCGCATGCCTGCGAAGCTGGTGTGTTACGCCGAAAGGTGGTTATACTGGCTATACAGATACAGGAACAGGTGCTATGAATGTTTGCCCCCTAGCAGTCTTTTATATAAACTGCAGCTACTATTTTTCTTGTTTAGACGTTTGATTGTCATCATCTCCCCTCCACTTTGTTGATGTGACTGAATGATTACAGTGAACATGGTGACATCTTCATTTCCAATGCACATCTGGCAATGTGACCCACTTAGTCTGAAGATAAATTGTCGTAACCTGCTCATTAGCAAGTAATATTGTGGCCTTGGTTGTCTCACAAATGTCAATGCATTATCTGCCACAACTGAACATAGCAATTGGTGAGGGGAACCAAAAAGGAATTATCTTCTTTTCAAAGTCATTTTGGTACTGAAATGCACACCTCAAACAGTCAACTGAAAGTCAGGTCTTTCATGCTACATAGTACATGAATGAATGAATTGAATGTGGGCATGGTGGCCTTGAAAAGGTGCACTTAGGTGCACCTGTTCCACCATGCCCTCCATGTATATTATGTATGTGGTTAAGTGTAATAAATAAATAAATAAATAAAAAATAAATAAATGAAGAAGTTTTTTTATGTCACAGGGGACCAAGGTAAAGGGGGGCATGCATGCCCTTTTTCGTAGGGCGTAATCAGGCTTTTTTAGTCTTCGTAATCTGTAGGCAGCCTCCCTAAAAATCAACATAATTCATAATAGAACATTAGCTGCAAATCTTAAAGTCATAATCAGCTCTGAGACTTTAACGTAATTCGTAATTGGCGGCGAAAATTTTGCGTAATTCGTAATCACTACCCCCCATGCAGGCCCTCGTAAAGTGGTCTTCTTGGACACATTGCCTTCCTCTTGAATGTGGAAAAAAATCTTGGACTGTAAAAGTTGGTTGTTACGCCAGGTAAGGTAACCAGGATAGCACCCAGGCTACTTTTAAATGCTTTATTCCTGCCAAAATCCTATCATGTTACTTCAGGGCTGAGAATATGAAGACATGGCTTTTTTCTCCCCAAGTGCAAATCATATCCAGATACACCTGTCAGTCACCTAGTGACCAAGCTTGGTCAGCGTCCAACAAAAAATCCCCTGTTGTGTGCAATTTTACGAGAGAGGGTACACTAGCAAAGATAATGGTGATAATGATTTCCCTAGTCACCGATTACCCTCCTACACTCAGATATGGCTGGCCTGTCCTCCTCTTCTCACAATACTCGTATAGTTTGGCGTGCAAAACTTCACCAAACTCTCTTCATTGGCATGAAGCTTTCAGTAACCACAAGCCACGCCCACTTATGCTACCCTGGCCAATCAGAGATGGCGATGTGGGTGTGGCAACAAATGGATTGGCAGTTTTGCAAGCAAGAGGAGAGAGGCCAGGCAGAGCTGGTGCCAATGGGCAATACAATGTATAATGGCTGAATAGGGGATTCATTACCTTTACACTTTTATTGCTCGGGCATTACTTTTCAGACCTTTTACAATAAGAAGAGGACGGTCCTAGCTGGAAGAATTTGCTGCCTATATTTAGATGTTACCAGTAGTTACCATTCAAATGTTGCATCCAAAAGACTGTTTTCTATTAAGAACTGCTGGCATTCAAACAATTCTTTCACATGTGTTGAACAGGTGTGCTGGCGTACAGTCAGGGAAACATCCCCCAAAATCTTACTTTAAACCTGGTGGGGCTAATTACAGAATAAATCCATTTTTAGCTCTGGAAATTGGAGATTGCAGAATACTGATGCAGTGTCTTCTAACCGTCTTTGGATGGGGATCCTGATGAGAGAAATTTTTGTTACCATGGTAACAGAAGGGTCGGAGCAAAACAGGTGTTTTTTGACCAGCATTAATGGGTATTAGCTTTCTGTACACACACCCCAATCCGAGAATTCAGCACAATTTCCACCCCCTCAGCTATACCTTTCCTCAATCCTATCCACAAGACCTCATCACCCCAAAGTTTAACTTTCTCTCCCACTCTTGATGGACTTCTTATAGCCACCGGCTCTTTACTAAATGGAGTCTAGTTTTCTCCTGGGGGTGCTCTGTCCGCCATAAATACAAACTCACAGTCCCGCAATCATTTTCAACCATACTTGCAATAATAACACGGGTGGAGGCAGGGAGGAATGCCGGTCTCCCCGCGGTCCTATCCCTGCTAACTACACACTAACAGCCACCAAATAAGGCAGAAGGGCAGGCAGGGTGACGCCAGTGGGCCTGGAAAATATTCTCTGTTATGGTTGGTGGAATCAAAACAAGGTGGAACATTTCACTTGGAGGGAGGCGTAGGATTACATGCTGAATGGTAGGGCAAAGCCAGCAATATGTAATAGCTCAGCGCAGCTCCACTGTTTCTGCTGACTGGGTC